TTTTTTTTGCATTCGTACTGCTTGAATTCTAATTAATTCATCAGTATCAAAACAGAAAAATCGGGCGACTAGCTATAATAAGATTTACTCGAACATCTCAGCCGCTCTGCTACTTACTCACAGCTACAGTTTTGTCATTTCTCCTTTCCGCTTAGTCAACCTCATTTTCAGAAGAAAATATTTGGGCTAGGACGCCTTGAAATGCTAGGGCTAGTATGCCACTCCTCCCTCGATTGAATTGGTCTGTCTGTACTTATAGCATTGTCAGATGCACTTTACTCTGTATGGAATTTCAGGCATTCCTCTTCATTAACTGCCTTCTCAACACTATTTGGGTTCCATTCAGTAATCGAATTTGTCTTTAATTAGTTCTCATCTCCCTCCCATGAGAGCCCAACTACTCTTACATGACAACCCTCTGCGTATATGGAAACACCTAGCTATATATATTTATAATTATATAGGATAATTAAAGTTATACAGCGTAAAGTTAGATAGAGAAAATAACACAAAGAGGGTGGAGAGTCTCCTCCCCCTAGAGCAGGGTCAAGTAATAAAAATAGATCACTCTGAAAATAGAAGGGAGTGCTTTTGTACCTCAATGGTCGCAGATCACTAAGTATGCAAAACTTTAGCGGGGATAGGATGTCCGAAGTTTGAACGGGTTAAACCAAGGACCAGGAGTATTGCATCATAATGACATTCTAACAAAAAAAAAGCATCCTAACAAAAAGCCATATATCGTTATGTGACATATTACGTGATAGTACTTTTCCCTTTTTATATTACTCATTGGGCATTTTTTATGGCAATCTAACATGGAATACCCAACCGATGATGCAGGCAGAGCGGGTATTCACAATTTCCTATGTGTCCCGGCATTTATGCTAATCCGCCTTGAGCACTTATGCTATGTTGCCTGCTTGAACCGTTTTGCATCGAAACTACTAGAACTTGGAGTCAACCTATGAAAGCTACAGATAGCAATCACTGTGTCCAGCAGTTCAGCTTTCTTTTCTGGACACAATGATAGCCAACACAGTATTCGCTTTCTGTGTGGTAATACACTTATTGATTCTCTATTTCAGACCCGGTACCAATGCTCTAGTGTTTTGGATGGATTGGGATCACGGCGATTACATCATGAGAGGTGGCCCGGTGAAAAGCTATTCAGTGGGGGCAACTCCGGAATGGTCAATTGGCTACCCACAAGCTGTTTTCTTTTATCCAGAAGAGCAGGCTTCCGTAAAGTTGGATATATCCACAGTGACCATTAGCATGGCATATAGGAACGATATGGAAAGACTGCATTTTCGTATTGTTTTTGATTCATGAATGAATTGCGCAAAGATCAAGCTCGATACTGCACATCTACGTGATAGGAGAGCGATAAGAAGACGTATCCAACAACTTTTTCAACATTTCGCTTCGTCTTTTTCGGAGAATTTTCTGGCCACTTGTCCGCAAGATCTTCGCAGCAGGCGACAGGCATTGTTGGTGATCATTACGGTTGACAAATTTGAGACATTACAGCGAAATCTTTTCTTTCAAGGCAATCGATTTTTAGACTCTGAATGCAGTGGAGTGTAAGCATACACCAGTTGTTCTCATGAAAATCATAAAATTAGGATGATCTAGAGAACTCACTGTATCCAAAGCCTGTAAATTCAGGTAGAGAGAGGATCGAGAAATCACCAACAGCAGAAGAGATGACGACACATATTTTTTAGGTGCTGAGAGAAGAGGGAAAGAATTTTGAAGATCAGTTTGCTGTCTAAGTGAGCATGAGAAAAATTTCGATTTTGCATCATTTTACTTCAAAATTCAACTCAGTGGAG